GCTGTAAAAATGTCACCAAGCTGAAAGCTATCAGCTGAAAGAACAATCTAATCAGAAAGATGTGAATGGTAACTGGGGATTGTTGAACACCACATTACTAGAAGCCCCAAAAGTCTCAATCAAGGCAAAGGCCATGCTGGCTACAAAAAGTGCAGGTCACTTGCTGTAACTGGTGGTTCATAGCGTAGTTTGGACCCTATCTGTATTCCACACACGGCTATTCATGCATGCCATGAGTCCAAGTCCAGACATTCTGCCAAGCAGTGTTTGTTGATACACGTATGCTATAACTCACCCTGTACTCCCGACAGAGGGTATAATAGAGGCAGTGCAAGCCAACGCCGCTCCAGTTCCTTCTGTTATTGCAAATCCAACCGGATCTGAACAGTAGTTGATGAAGGATTGGCAGTGGAAGACAGATAAGGACGAAATCTCAAAGCACCTCCTAGTATAGCAAGTAACCTCCACTCTGAGTGCTGGCCCTTAGATGGATTGCACACGCGGGCAACTGGCAAGCAGCGTTCAGACTGGAAGAGGGCGCGAGGAGGTTAGCAGCAAAAGATGCTTGCCACACGGCCATTCCTACCACTGTGCCTACAGCCAATACATGAACTAGAGCAGCGGTTCTCAAACTTTTTGGGCTCTGGAGCCCTTTACATGCATAAAAATTTATGCGGAGCCCCAGCGGTCCACTGATTGTATGTGTTGTACCTATCGATGTTTCCAGTTTGTCAACCTCGCGGAGCCCCTGGAGATGTCTCCAAGACTCCGCGGAGCAGTGAGAGAAACACTGAACCAGAGTGCAGTGTGCAAAGTGCGAGTGGACAGAACTCCAGGTTACCAGCCTAACAACGTCCGGTGGTGGGAGGTCAGACAGACACAGGAGCGTGTGCCCCTGAGGAATAAGCTGTAATACCTGCCGTGGGGAGGGTGGTTTTTTACTATTTTGTAGCTTTCTAAGATGCGTCCCAAAACCCTCTTGGAAAGCCTTGGGGAGGAGATGGCTTGGCCATGTGACCTTTCTGCTAGGGCAATACAAAATCTCAGATTCTCTTGTGGGAGTGGCTTCTTTGCAGGCAGAATGCCAGGACACCGGACATCAAGGGAGTGAACCCGGTTGTCTTTGGAGGAAGTGATGGGTTTCAGGAAAAATACAGGTAAGTATCATTTGATTGATGTGGAACTCAAACCTCCCTGGGGAGAAATCGGGAGGCGTACATGAAGAGAAAACTTTCTCTTTGTGGAACACTATATATGGAGGGTCTACCATGGTGGCTTCTAGTTCACTGACCCTCCTGGACAAAGCAATGGCCACGAAGAATGCACACTTCTTGGGCAGGTGAACCATGGCATAGAATCATAGAATAATAGGACCAGAAGGGACCTCAAGAGGTCATCGAGTCCAGCCCCCCGCCCTCAAGGCAGGACCAAGCTCCACCTACACCATCCCTGACAGATGTCTATCTAACCTGTTCTTAAATATCTCCAGAGAGGGAGATTCCACCACCTCCCTTGGCAATTTATTCCAATATTTGACCACCCTGACAGTTAGGAATTTTTTCCTAATGTCCAATCTAAACCTCCCTTGCTGCACTTTAAGCCCATTACTCCTTGTCCTGTCCTCAGAAACCAAGAGGAACAAATTTTCTCCTTCCTCCTTGTGACACCCTTTTAGATATTTGAAAACCGCTATCATGTCCCCCCTTAATCTTCTTTTTTCCAAACTAGGGCATGTGGCCCTATGTTTGAAAGGTGGCCCTATGAACACTGAGAATGAGGTGACGGTTCCGTGGAAGCATCAGAGTAAGGACTGCTGGCAAGGTCTGATCAAGCCTTTCATAAACCATACAGCAGCTGGGTGGACAAAGATGGAACATACTTCCACAGGCGGAAGGACAGCGCTTACGACTGCTAACTGCCCCCACAGCGAACTAACAGCAGACCTGAAGCCTTCAGGGATAGGAGTCAGTCCACCCAAAGAATCTGGAGAATGCTGGCAGAGTTGTACCCAGAGGGAAGCGCTTCTCCATTTAGCTGGGTGACAGATTCTGCTTTGGTTAAGGGTTTTCTCAATGGAGCAGGGCATGAGCATTGTTATTCTGATGCCTGTCCAAACACCAGGCCAGGAGGTGCAGTGAGCCCAGGCTCGGACGTGTGATTTCCACCCCTGCCCTAACTGGTGATGGGCCCACACTGTTAAACATTCCATGAACCAGGACTGTCTGGCCAGCAGGATGTGAGGATCCCTACACCTCGGCCTCCATCCGAGACAGAGCTTACTTCATTCCAACTATGAACTGAAGCCAAAGAGAGACAGACAGAGGACTTTCCCTGCTGCAGTGACAACTGCTGTTCTAATTCTTGAGGCTACCTGAGGTCTCTGGATGAAGAGAGCTAAACCCAATACTGCGGAGTAGGATGGGCAGGCAATATTGTATTTTGCCGCAGTAATTCAGCCTGTAACAGGAGGCCTCACTCTGTTGCTTAAACCTTTGTTGAGAAATGGGGGCAGCTCACTGGGGAATTGGGTGAAAGGTACAGTGAGTCACTGCTATTTTAATCTTGGCTAGTACACTACCTCCCTTCACTAGTTGCAGATTTCTATCCTGTCCTTTAGCTGCTGACTTTCACCCTTTTACTGATGCAGCACTTACAAGTCCCACAGTCCTGTTCAGCTCACACTAGCCCTGGAGAGGTTATAGGCAAGAGGCCAATCAGCTGTAGGCTGCACCTGGAGAGGAGCTAGGTACAATGAGGCCTAACGAGGGATAAAGCTCATCTGGGCAGGAAAAGGTGGAGTCTGCTGTCAAGCTGGGGAGCTGGCAAGGGGGGGCGGGGGGGGGGGGG